CTATTAATATCATATATATAGATTATATTAAAAATAATATTTTTCTCATACTTAGGTGACACATTATAAGGCTTTTTTTTTTTAAAAAAAAAAAAACCACATCAGCATATATTTTCTTAATTATATATAGAATTTTACACAAATTCAAATTTAATTTAAATTATATTAACTGTACCTACTTTATATGGACTCTATTTAATAAATATATATTTTTCATGATAAATTGAGATAATCCACAAACCTAATATCAATTTTTCATTTTACGTTTTTTCCTTCTTAATTCTTTTAAGGGTATTAGGATTTTTGTTTAATGTTAAATTGTCCCCCTTTTTTTTTTAATTTTTCGGTATATTATTCTATACCCAATATCAATTCTATATTATTCTATATTATGAATTTGTTATTTAAATTTTATAGTAATTCCATATTTGAAATTATATTTCATTTTTTATATTATTTTATATAATCACAACTTACAGGAGGAAAAACCTGCATAACAGTGATACTCTCGAAGAACTTCTAAGTTTAGATTTACTACTTGAGTTACTTTTTCAATTATTGATCAGTAAGTTTTTTTCTATTTTAACATCATATTACAAATAATTAATTACTTCACACACTGAGATGTATTTATTGTTTGGATGTTTTCATTATTTTTCCTTTTTGAATTTAGATATTATTATGTGATTCTTTTTTGGTTAGTCGTGTTGAATTTATTTTATATAGTTGATATTTTAATTCAATTAAGAATTTTTATTCAAAATCTTTTAATTTAATATATATATATCAAATAAATTTATTATATGATAATCCAACTACAACATTTTTGTATTTAATTGTTTAATAAATGATATATAATTTCTATTTTTACATATTTTTATTTTTCAAATGAATATAAAAGAAAATTAAATAGTTAGAATTACTTTTAATTTTATGTTACTAATTCTTCTTATATATCATACAAAATTATTATATGATAATCACACTTTTACAATATTATATAACTAAAATTATCAAAATATATAAATAATTTAACTAAAATTAATATTATATATAAGTATTCAAATAAAAATTTTATAGAATGATAGCGCCAAAATTATCAAAATAAATAATTAAAGTTATACTTTAATTTTAATTTTCATTTTAAATTAAAATTAAAATTAATCTTTCATAACACATATTATACCATTAAATATTTTTTAAAAAGAATAACACATATATTATACGGGTTAACTACTAATTTATATAATATATTGCTAATTTAAATAATTTTTATATATCACTTTAATATTATCATTACATTGAATTTTTATTCAATTAATAGTGAATTGCGTGGCGACGCTGCCTCACAACCGCGCATGGATATGTAAGGTTCTGTTTGGCGAAACTCTGAAATGTTAGTTTCAGAATTTGATTTGAACATAATGTTTGTTTATGATTTTTAAAAATTTAATTTCACACTCACTTTTGAAAACGCGGTCAAAGGCGTGAAAATTTGGGCTAACCACTCGTCCCATCGGTTGATCAGAATAGTGTAAATTTTTTTATTTTTATTTATTTTTTTGGCAATTGACACATGTTAATTTTTATATATTCAATAAAAAATATTTTCAGAAATTTTTAAAAAAATTTATGAGCTTTAATAGAATTTTGAGTTGTGTATTCAGTTATGAGTTGTAAGTTTTTGTATTAAATATCATATGTCACATCAAAAATTTTCCACTCAATTCAAAACTCTTTTCAAAACTCATTCACCAAACAAATTTTTCACACTCAAATCATAGTTCCAAAACTCACAAACTCAAAATACAATTTATTCTCAAATCATATTTTGACCATCTCCAATGGTTGACCAAATTCATCACCAAATTTGAATCTGCTAAATATGCTAGTGCTGGTTGCTGGTGTGTGATGCTGATTTGAGTTGCTGTTATGAAGCTGCTCTTGGTGGTGTTGTTATGAGGTTGTTCTCCTGATGTGTGCTGCTGATATGAGCTGCTGATATGCTGATTGTTGTTTTTTCTTGGCCAGAGTTATTTCTTCGCCTTAGGTGTTTTTTTCTGTTTTTTGTTCTTTCTTTTGTTGGTTGCTTTTGATTGGTTTCTCATCAATCTTGGGTCAAATGCTAACAAATGATTTTGCTTCCTTTGCAATGCCAACCTAGTTGGGATTGTTGAGGTTACCTTTGATACTTAGGCCAAGTTTGGGAAGTTGAAAATAATCCATCTTTTTATCTTTTTTTCATCACATCACCTCTCTACTTTTCTGCACATTTTTTCGTAAAAAGACAAAAAGTGCACTTATTTAGGTCATCCCAAACAACTCCTTAGTGCACTTATCTTCTTTGTTGATGTATTTTTGCACGTATTGTACTTTTTTCATCAATAAAGCTTTATTTTGTTGATAAAAAAAAATTGAATTTGGTGAAAAATGACAGCTTGTTTTGTCTCCAACAGTTTATTCAAAACGATATCAAATTGAGAATTCACCAACTTTTTCACCAAACTGAGAATGCGCTGGGTTTTTCACCAAAACACTATTCATTATCGTTGTATTTTCACTACCAGATGACCAATTTTGCCAAAAATTTGTACAGATTTTACACTGGGATGTCGACCCCACGGATGACCCTCAAGTTTGAAAATTCAACTACAAAATTGTACAGATTTTGCTCTTTTCGGTCGACTGATCGGTCGTCCCTTCGGACGTCCAGTGCGTTTTGATGAAAGCTACAGTACACCGTTGGAGTGATTGATATCAGATTGAGCCAAACGTCTTTTTTTTACTCAAATTGGGTAAAAAAATTGTTCAACCGTTGGAGATGCTCTTACAAAATTCTACCAAATGCAATCTAAGTTTTTTTTTTACTTTTTAACTTTTTTACATAGAAAAATCATAATAAAGTCAATTTTTTTATACAAAAAAATACCAAAAATTTAAAAATGCTAAAAAATCAATTTTTACCAACTTCTCAAAACACCACATAAATCCCACACACATTGCACTCTCATTGTCTATGTATCTGTAAGTGTGTGTATGATTAGACAGACTAGATAAGGTAGAATTAAAATCTATCAAATTTGAATCCTAGGATTGTAAATTTCTGGACTATTTGGTTGGATTGAATGTGTGTTTCGTGTTTGTTTTATCATAGAATTAGATGTCTGGAAATAACTTTTTTTTTAATGAATCTAATATTTGGTTAGACGAACTGGATAAGGATAAATGAGTAAAAGACTATTTATCATTTTTTAATTGTTTACTAAGTAATAGCAATATTAAACATATCTTTAATATTTTAATTATTTTTAGTTAGATTAAATAAAATTTATTTTATTTTATTTTTTACACAATTAATTAAATTTACTTTAAAAAATAATAATAATTAAATAATGAAATTAAATAAAACATCTATTAAAATTTAAATAATGAAATTAAATAAAATTTTAAAATAAAACATCAATATATATCTATAAAAAATTATTTTAAAAAATTAAATAAATAAAGCATCATAAAAAGTTAAATAAAATTATTTTACTTTTAAATTGAGACATTTAAATTTTATTGAATTTTTCTAAATATAATATATAATTAAATAGTAGAGGGTCAAAATGGTCATTTCACCACTTAATCACATGGAATTGTTATCCCATGAAAAATTGTCCCATATTCCCCTCCGGAGAGTGTAACCCCACATTTGGGGATAAGAAGTCCGGTCGAACTTCATATCGGGTGGACTAAAAAAGAGCAAATGCCGGATAAAAGATTTCTAATAAATTACAATCCAAATAGTGTTTAGGCCTAGTTTGGAAAGACTAAATAAGTGCACTTTTTGATTTTTTTTGTATTATGTGTAGAAAAACTAGAGAAGAGATGTTGATTGATGTGACCTAAAAAAGATAAAAAGATGAAATAAGTGCACTTTTTTCTTTGTAGCCAAACTTGGCCTTAGTCCCCCTGATCCCTTGAATCAAGCACACTATAAGAGAAATGCTATATTTAGGTCTCATTAGAAATTTAAGATTTTAATTAAAAAAATTATTATAAATTATCACATTATTTTTTTTAAAAAATTTTTTTATAAAATTAAAATAATTAATTCCTAAACGAGATCTCATATCCACAAATTCAAGTATAGAAGTTGGACTTTCCATTATTAAGTGTGTAATAAATTAAAAATTAGGGTAAATTACATTTACACTCCTGAGGTTTGGGTTTAATACATATCACCCCTAACGATTGGGAAATTACACTAACCCTCTTGTCATTGTAATTGTTTAGACGGAATGAAGATATTGAACTCATACACTCTCTTTTTTTCTTCTTTGCTTTACTTTCTCTTTTTTTTTTTTCCTTTCATTTAATTTTTTTTTAATGTAATTTTCTTTGTTTTTCTACTAGAAGTTGTTACTTTTTATATAAATCGGAAGGGGGGATTTGTGAAATGAGACTATTAACCATAAGGGTAAAAATGTAATTTTCAAAACTTCAAGGAGTGAGTAATAATTGGACCAAATCTTAAGGGGTGTCAATGTAATTTACCCTAAAAATTAACATATAGGCCTCGTTTGGGAAATGACTATTTTAGAGACTTTTTGATTATTTTAGTAGGTTATTTTAATTTTTGTGTTTGAGAAGATGAGATGAATTTTTAGTTAAGTTGTTGTATTGAAAAGTGTGTTGAAATGATGTTTGAATTTAAAATGACAAATTTATCCTTAAATTATAATTTTTTAAATCGATGTAAAGGAGCAAAATGGTAATTTAGCCATTGATGTAACAATTCCCGGCTGTGACAATGTAGGCACAGGGCTGCAACCTATTTTATTTATTTATTTATTTTATTTTTTTAAAAAAACTGTAAACAATATTCACTTTTAAACTTATTTTGTATTTTAGACTTTAATAGCCTTAACTCACCGTTACCAAACAGCGCCATACTGTAAAATTATAAGCACTTTTTTAAAAATCTCAAACAATCTCCCCGTATATAAATAGCCTTGAACAACAACTCGAAGCTCGAACACGTATCCACTTATTCCTCGCAATGGCCAACCCTCCCCTTTCTGCACCTCTCTATGATCGAATCAGTCGTAGAAACAACATATCCAGAGCTATTGAACTCATCATCCTCTTCCTTCTCTTCTCTCTCCTACTCTATCGTCTTCTCTCCCTCAAAGATCATGGGTTCACTTGGGTTTTGGCTCTATTGTGCGAGTCATGGTTTACTTTCACTTGGGTTCTCGTTATTAGCACCAAATGGAACCAAGTTGACTACTTGACTTACACAAAACGTCTCTTGCAACGGTATATATATATCATACCAATATCTTTCTCTTATGCCGTTCACTGTTATTTCTAGTTCTTCACCATCTCTATACTCATGATGGTAGTTATGCCAAAAAATTAAACTCATTTTTTAAATTCAATAATATTATGGTCTATTCTCTTTATATCTTTTTTAAATATCAATTAATTTTTTCATTTATACATTAATAGATTTATAAAATTGGTCAAAAACATAAACTTGTATGATTATATCTCATTTTTCAGTACATAAACATATATATATATTTTAAAAAATAAAAAATAAAAAATAAAAATCATCAAAAAAATAAAATGAAAATAAGTTTCTATCCACTTTCCTGGGTCTGACTGGTACTTTGATGTATTTTTTTGTAAGTCATTCTTAGAAAGATCATAATTGTAATGACGTAATTTAATTTTTTTTTATTTTTAAAAAAATTAATAATTTATTTTTAAAATTATATTTTTTTAATTATAAATATGATGAAATATTTGTTTATCGCAAGATTAATTTATATTTTTCATATATAATCTATACTATGGCTAAGTTTGGCGTACTTAAAATAATCCATTTTTTTATCTTTTCATCCTTTTTTCATCACATCATTTCTTTATTTTTCTGCACATCTTTTGGTAAAAAGATAAAAAAAATACACTTATTTAGATCATCCTAAACAACTTCTATTTCTCTCTCTCACACACACGCACAAAAAACAAGAAGAAATTCACACACAAAACAAGAAGAAATTCCTAAAAAAATTAATGACTGGAGTCATGGAAATATGATTAGAAAAATGCTTGGGACCATTAATTAGTGCTCCCACTCATTAGGTAGTAGTGGTCCCGTCATTAATGATGTGATGTTCTGGTCTTAGAGTTGTATTTTTTTTTTTTTAATTTTTTTAATACATTAATGTTATTAGTGGTGATGTTTTTAGTGAGATGAATCATTGTTGATATGATTATTAGTGGGCCGCCTGAATTGAATAAACATTTCTCCTAGACAACTGGAAAGAAGGTTCTTCTCAAAAAAAATTTTGCAAAACGGAAAACGTGTTGATCAAATTCATTCTCAAGTGTGTTCTATACTACAAGAAGTTTAAATCTACATTATATATGTTCAAATTTATGCACTTCTTTTTAAAAAAAGAAAAAAGAAAAAAAAGTGATATTTTTCAAATTCCTTTTTGGTTAATAGGAAGCTTGAGCTCCCCCCTGTGGACATGTTTGTTACAACAGCAGATCCTGCCCTAGAACCCCCTATCCTCACAGTGAACACTGTACTATCTCTGTTAGCTGTTGATTATCCAGCTGATAAGTTGGCTTGCTATGTATCTGATGATGGGGCTTCACCTCTCACCTTCTACTCTCTTGTTGAAGCTTCCAAATTTGCAAAGATTTGGGTTCCATTTTGTAAGAAGTACAACGTTCAAATCAGAGCTCCCTTTCGATTCTTCTCTGTTAAATCTACATCACCTCAAGATGTTTCACTAGAGTTCCAACAAGAATGGAAAAAGATGAAGGTAATTCAATTGTTTCTTTTAATTGCAACATTTACATAAATTGATGATTTTGAATGGTGAAATTTATTATTTTACCCTTACAAGATAAATAAAAGTTCTTCAAACTATATATTTTTGTTGAATAATTGTGCAATTGTAACATTCAAATAGTAATTTTTGTGCAACTTTGGTGCTCATTCTAACTCAACTAGGGGTGTAATTTGGACAGGTTCAACCTGAGCAACCTAAATCCAGTCTGAATTTGTTTATGGTTTAGGCAAGATATTTTCAAATTTGGTATGAATTTGGACAAAAATTCAAAAGTCCAAATTAAATTTGAGTGGACTTAGGCAAAGACGTTAAGCAACCTGAAGTGCGAATTATACATATATAGATACATAAAAATATTAAATATACATATAAATTATCAGTCATTACATGATATTAAAGTAATTTAGATTATTAAATCATATTGAATATATATTATCATATATACAAATAACCTAAAATCTTTTTATTTTATTTTTTATTTTCATTCATAAATTGTAAGGACTACTAGAGTAGTATCTCTTTTACATTATATAAATTATTTGTTTTGATGGTATTAATGATTTTTTATAATAAAAAAAATGTAATTAGAGTCAAATCTTAATAATTTAATAATGTTACTACCAAAAAAAAAACCTGAAATTTATTTACAATTTGTGCAACTTAGACAATTCGGGTTGGGCTTGGACAAGCAGTCTCGGGTTACAATTCGGGTCTGGACGGGCCTGGGTAGGTCTCAGCATAACTTAGGTTGGACTTGAACAACCTCTCAACCCATCCAAACTTGTCCGAGTTGCACCCTTAAAATGAACTACACTATAATTTTGGATTAGAGGTATTTATTGCAATTTATGGTAGATTTTTTGTGTAATAATGTGAAAATCTTATTGAGTAATAATATACAAATAAAAAGTTGTACATAATTTTCATACTGGGGGGTTAACTCTAGTGGTCAAGGCCTAAGTCTGAATGTATTCCTAATCTCATAGGTTGGCAACTTCTTAAGTACAAATAATTTTCAGATAATTTTTTGGAATCATTCAATATGATCTCTCGAAATAAATAAATAAATAAATAAATAAAACACCCATGGTTGATTTATTTTCCTTGTTAATGTATAATGTATATATTATATTAATGTATAATATATTAATACAGCTAGCTATAGGACAGAGCATGGGATTCTTATTCTTCTTTCGGCTGCTTTCTCTTTTATATGTTTTCTCTCATAATGATGTTGTATAGCAGCTCCTATATATGGAGCCTCTTCTTACAGTTTCGATATATATTGAACAACAGAGCTTATTCACTCTTTCAATATCACTCTCTCAACATATTTTACATGGTATCAGAGCACAGGTGTTTTTCCTAACCTCTTCTTCCGCTGTATCACATTTTTTTTTTTGCTTGGCAGATTGTTGTGTATCTTGTCTGCATTACATTTTTTGTTTGGCAGATTGTTGCCCATCTTGTCCTTATCTAAATTACAGATTGGACAACACAGAAGCCTTCGTCTCTTCACTACAAATCCACAGCCACCAGATTCATCATCATCCGACAACTCGCGCGCCCTCACGTGCCATATTTGTCGCCAGCGCGTCACCTGCTTCCGTTTTAAACATCCCATGTGCTCCACGCGTCCACCAGTCGCTTGAGCCACCTCTCTTCGCGTCTCACGCGCTACATGCGTCTGCAAGCCGCTCAAGCCATCCGCGTGAGCCGTCTCTCCCGCACGCGTCCCTCGCGCCGCACACGCCTCGCGCCGCTTTCGTCTTCGGCTCACGCCACCTACACACGCCTTTTGTCCTCAGCTCCAGCCGGTCCAGCTCAAACCGGCTCAGCACCTTTCCCAGGCCGGTTCACCCATATTTTTGGACTTTTCTGGCCAGTTCAGCCCGGTTTCTCACTAATTTGGACCTTCTGCATTCACTGGTGTCCTCGGATTTTTTAGATTCTCCCTCGATAGTACTGCCTTTCTCTCATGGATCGCCCGGACTCCTTTAACCACCCTATTTTCGTTGTTCTTGACGGGACTAACTATGTCTTATGGGCACAAGCTATGTTTGGATTCCTCAAAGGCAAGAAACTTTGGCGCATCATCACTGGGGATGTGTGCAAACCCATCCAAGCAACTACGGAATCTGCTGCCACCACGAAATCCGCTGCCAAATATGTCGACCGTCTGGAGGATTGGGATAGTAAAAACTATCAGATCATCACTTGGTTTCGCAATACTTCTATTACATCTATCAGCCTTCAGTTTGGTCGGCTCCAACTTGACTCTGCTTCCTCTCCAGCCAAGGCCATTTGGGATTTTTTACAAGAACGCTATTAGACTACTGGCCTTGCTCACCAATATCAGCTTCTGAGTCATCTTCACCGTATGCGCCAAGATATAACTCAGACCATTAATGATTTCTTCTCCCAAATGTATTATGTTTGGGATCAACTCGCTCTTTCTGAACCTCCATGGCATTGTACTGGGGATGGTACCTTGTTTACTACTTACCGTGACCAGCAGCACTTGGTTTAGTTTCTCATGGCTCTCACTCCCCGTTTTGAGCCAGTACGTGCATCTCTCCTTCATCGCACTCCTTTACCCACTCTTGAGCAAGCAATTTCTGAACTACTGTCAGAGGAAACCAGGTTTGGTACTCTCCATCCGCACCCTGTGGACTCTCTTCTTACTACTCCCCAGCTTCGGAGTTCTCCTTCACCACCTTCACCACAGAGGTCAACTATCTGCAACTACTGTCAAAATCGCAGTCTTCCGTCGACTCATCTTCTGGTTAATTGTCCAATTCGTCTTTGTCGGTTTTGCAATAAGATTGGTCCTAGTCATCTCCAGCAAGATTGCTTCCGCAATCCTGCCCGTGCCTCTCGCAATGGTTCTTCCACCGGGAATTTTACCCGTAGCAACTCTCACCGTTCTAGGACTCCGTTTAAACCAATGCCTGCTCAATGCACTGCTACTGCTGCCTCCGAGGATTTACCTTCCTCTGTCCCTATAGATCCTTCCACTCTAGTCTTCTCTCACACAGATGTCGAAGCCATGTTTCAACATTTTTGGTAGAATTCTGGTACTCCTCCATCTACTGCTTCGTCTGTCACCGCAGGTAACACTTCCTGGTACTTTGACTTTGCTTGTTGTAATCACATGACCTTTGACCCTACTATTTTTACTCCTCTCTCTTCTATTCCTCATGTTCCTTCTATCTATACTGCTGATGGGTCTCTTCTGTCTGTAAGTCATGTTGGTTCTGTTTCTACCTCTCACTTATCTTTATTCCATGTATATCTTATGCCTGCTCTTACTTTAAATCTTATCTCCATTAGTCAATTATGTGAGCATGGTCTAACTGTTACCTTTTCCTATACTGGTTGTTTGGTGCAGGACCCTCGGACGGGGCAAACTCTTGGGATAGGCCGTAAGCATGGACGTCTCTACGAACTCATCCATCTTCATATTCCAGATTCCTCTCAGATCACCGCTCCTACCACTGCTCCTCCTTTATCTCCTTTTCAGCTTTGGCACTATCGTTTAGGCCATCTTTCTGTTGGTCGTTTAAAATCTTTAATTTCTAGTGGTCATTTAGGTCCTGTAAGTTCTAATGCTTTAGATTGTGTGTCCTGTCAACTTGCCAAACAACTTGCTTTGTCGTTTAATAAAAGTGACTCCGTTTCTCTTGCACCATTTGATCTTATCCATTCTGATATTTAGGGACCCTCTCTTGTTCCCACTATGGGCGGCGCCCGCTATTTTGTTGTTTTTATAGATGATTTTTCCCGTTTTACATGGTTGTTTCTTATGAAAAATCGCTCTGAGCTCAAACAACTTTATTACAATTTTGCTGCAATGGTTAAAACACAATTTTCTAAAACTATTAAGCTTTTTCGCTCCGACAATGCCATGAAATATAAAGATTTTGACTTTCTTTCCTTCCTTCAGAGTCATGGTACTCAACCTCATCGTTCCTGTCCCGGTACGTCTCAACAAAATGGATGTGCTGAACGGAAACATCTGCATATTCTCAACACTACTCGCGCTCTCCTTCTGTCTTCCTCTTGTTCGGAACATTTTTGGGGCGAGGCAGCTCTCATTGCTGCTTACACTATCAATTGTAACCCTACACCTGTCATTCATAATCACATTCCTTATGAGCGTCTGCATGGCACCTGTCCCCCTTACACTAACTTTAGGGTCTTTGGCTCTGCCTATTTTGTTCTTCTCCAACCTCATGAACGTACCACACTTGAATCTCGTTCCCGCCTTTGTTACTTTTTGGGGTATGGTATTGAACATAAGGGGTATCGTTGTTGGGATCCTCTCTCCCAACGACTTCGTATCTCTCGTCATGTGGTCTTTTGGGAACACAAAATGTTTTTTTCTCTCTCTCTCCTCCGTTTGTCCGTTCCCTCACCCTCTTTGTTTTTTACTGACCTTTCCACAGATCTGTTTTCTGATGAGCTTACTTCACCGCCCCTGCCAGACTCTGTCGAGTTTTCTGATACAGTTACTCTACCACCGCTGCCAGCCTCTCTCGAGATAGCCTTGCCTACTGGTCTGTCCCATGCACCTGCTCGCTCTGATGGTCCTGCTCTTGCTCCCTCGGGATCCTCTCCTCCTGTTGTGTCTTTTCCTCTGGCTCCTCCTCCCTCTGCTCGACCACACCGGGTAACCTAACCTTCTACTTGTCTTCGTGACTTTATTGTTAGTTCTACTGCTTTTTCTACTTATGAACCGACCTCCTATCGTGAGGCTCGCTCTAATCCTCTTTGGCAGCATGCTATGACTGATGAATTGCAGGCTTTAGACAAAACTCATACGTGGGACATTGTTGATCTTCCTCCTGGCAAGACTATCATTGGCTGCAAATGGGTATACAAAATCAAGACTTGTTCTGATGGATCTATTGAGCGCTACAAAGCCCGTCTTGTTGCCAAAGGCTTCAACCAAGAATATGGTATTGGCTATGAGGAGACCTTTGCTCCTGTTGCTCATCTCACCTCTGTTCACAGCTTGATTGCTGTTGCTACCACCCGACAATGGGATCTTTTTCAACTGGACGTGAAAATTGCTTTCCTTAATGGTGTTTTTCTCGAGGAGGTCTACATGCAACCTCTCCCTAGGTCAACTTATCCACCTCATAAAGTCTGTAAACTTCAGCGTGCTTTATATGGTCTAAAACAAGCTCCCCCGTGCTTGGTTTGCCAAGTTCAACTCTACTATTCATGAATGTGGTTTCACCTCCCGCTCTTATGATACTGCTCTTTTTATTCGGAAAACAGCTCAAGGGACCACCCTGCTTTTGCTTTATGTGGATGATATGATTATCACCGGTGATGATTTCGATGGTATTCTTCGCTTTAAACAGTTTCTTAGCTATCATTTCGAGATGAAAGACAATGGTCCTCTCAGCTATTTCTTGGGTCTTGAAATCTTTCATGATTCTACGGGTTCTTTTCTCTCTCAGGCTAAGTATACCTCTGATCTTCATACACGTGCTGGTCTTACGGATTGCAAGACTGCCTCCACTTCTCTGGAGTCTCAGAGTCGTCTTACACCTCTTGATGACACTCTTCTCTCTGATGCTACCCTATATCGTCAGCTGGTTGGCAGCCTTGTCTATCTCACTATTACTCGTCCTGATATTGTCTATGCCGTTCATATTGTCAGCCAGTTTATGTCGGCTCCTCGTACCCCTCATTATGTTGCCTTAGTTCGTATCCTTCGGTATCTCAAAGGCACCCTGTTTCATGGTCTTCATTATTCCGTCTACTTATCTCTCCAGCTTCGTGCTTTCTTCGATGTTGATTGGGCTGGAGATCCTACTGACCGTCGCTCTACTACTCGATTCTGCTTTTTTCTGGGTGATTCTCTTATTTCTTGGCGCAGCAAGAAACAATCTCTTACTGCTCGTTCCAGTACTGAGGCCGAATACCGTGCTCTTGCTGATACTACTCAGGAGCTTCTCTGGCTTCGTTGGCTTCTTGATGACATGGGTGTTACCCCCTCTGGTGCTACTGACCTCTTTTGTGACAATCACAGTGCTCTTCAAATTGCTCACAATGATGTTTTTTATGATCGCACCAAGCACATTGAGATTGACTGCCATTTTATTCGTCAACATGTCACTCGTGGTACTGTCCATCTCCATCCGATCTCTTCTGTTGATCAACCTGCTGATATCTTCAGCAAAGCTCATTCTCCTGGCTGCTTCGTTGATCTTGTTTCCAAACTCCAGTTGGTTGATGTTTGTCCTCCTTGAGCTTGAGGGGGGCTGTTCATGTATAATGTATATATTATATTAATGTATAATATATTAATATTGCTAGCTATAGGACAGAGCATAGGATTCTTATTCTTCTTTCGGCTGCTTTTGGCTGTTTTCTCTTTTATATGTTTTCTCTCATAATGATGTTGTATAGCAGCTCCTATATATGGAGCCTCTTCTTACATTTTCAATATATATTGAACAACAAAGCTTATTCACTCTTTCAATATCACTCTCTCATCATATTTTACATTCCTTACTTTTTTTGTGAATCAAATTTGTTTAGAGATAGAGATAAAAGTTGTTGCAGATGATTCATGACTGACAAAAATGTACAAAACAATGTTTGTCTTCATATATATGTTTGCAGGATGAGTATGAAAAGCTTAGCCAAAAAATTGAAGATGCTTCCAAAAGGTCCCAACCTTGTGAACTTACGGGCGACTTTGCTGATTTCACAAATATACAACGCAAAAACCACCCCACTATAATTAAGGTATTTCATCACTCCAATATTACTACATTATAAATGAAAGGTAAATTACATATAATTAGTCCTATCGTTTAACTAAAATATCATTTTAGTTTTTATTGCTTTAATTTCAGTAATTTGATTCCTATATATTTTAAATTTTGTCGCAATGTGATCTTTTTGTCACTTGCCGTCAGAATCTAAAATGGAAAAAGTCCATGTGTAAAATTAGAGAAATCAAAATGAAATTCAAACTAAACTACAAGGTCACTAGTAAAATATATTCATTACATTGGTGATTCCTACACTTTGTTTTAAATTCAATTTTGGTTCGTTTAGTTTTGCATGTGATTTTTGTTTTTTTTCAAGATGTTAACAACGTATGATAGAGGAATTATATTGCAATAAAATTGAAAGTGCAAGGACTAAATTATTCAAAATGAAATTACGAGGGTCAAAGTAAAATGTCATTCAAACTAGAGGGACAAATGATATATGATTTATCCTAAAATAAATTTGAATTACACATGATATTTGGGCAAATTACGACGGTAGTCCTTGTACTTTGATTTCTATAATTACAATTGACTTGATTTTGATCTTGAATTTAGGCTTTTATTTCAATTTGGTTCAAGTAATTACAACTCTTAATATTTTTATATGGAAAATATACACATAAATGACATGTGTTATATTTTTAAGACTAAAATTATAATTTGCTCAATTTAGTTAGTTGACCTCAACCAATTTAATTATTTTCTGTTGAAAACACTAACGATATTATTAATTGGAACAAATTAACAAAAAATTTAAAATTAAAGGTTAAAATTAAACCAATTAAAAGTGTAGAAATCAAAATGATACAAGAAACAAAATATAAGAATAACCGATATAATTTTCCTTTAATATTTTGATGTAAAATTTTAAATAAAAATTCTAAATGTATAGTATTAAATGTTAATTTGAAGGTTATATGGGAGAACAAGGAAGGAGTATCCAATGGAGTGCCACATGTTATCTACGTATCCAGAGAGAAGCGTCCAAAGCATCTACATCATTTCAAGGCTGGCGCTATGAATATTCTGGTATGAGAAGTTTCTCACGACAACAAAGTTTTACATTATGGGAACTTCCATACCTACGCACTTTAATGATCCATCCATCTTTTTTTTTTTTAATATATAAAAATAATTTATTCACACAATTTCATCCCCAAATCCCTTGAATGATATGACAAGTAAAATTTTAAATTTTGGCTCATACTTTAACATATAATAACTGTGTAAACTTACATCCTCTCTTACCACATCATTTGAAAAAGTTTGGAATGAAAGAATTATATGGATGTAACATTACTATTTTTCTTAAACACAAATATGATTAAATTATAATTTATAGGGTAAACTATCAATAAGTCGTAATAATTAAATTTAATTCTCATCAGGTCCTATTGAAAATAAGTCCGAATAAAATTGGTGGTAAAAATATTTTTTTGTAATGATTTTTTGTATATGTTGTTGAAAATTAACAATTAGTGACTTTTTTTGTTACGAGTTTTATATACGTCACTAAAACTTACAATTAGTAACGTTTTTCTTTGACGAATTTCTCAAACTATCGTTGAAAGTTACAAATTAGTGACATTTTTTTATGATGATTTTTTTAAATTGTTGTTAAAACTTATAATTAGTGACATTTTTTGTAACAATTTTCAAACTGCACTGAAAATTAATAATTAGTGACGTTTTTTAATAGTATTTGATAAAAAATACCATTAATTATCATAAGATTTATTAGATAATAAGTTCACCTATTAAGACTAACACGTAAGCTTTCCTAATTTTTATAATCAATAATTTATACAGAGACTCCTAATAATTTGCCCATGAACCAAAGCATCTTTCATTCTGGGCAAAACTGCCAATCCGTATGAGATTAGTAAAATGTTAACCAAAAGGTGAGAATCCTTTTAGAGTACAATTTTTACTGGGAAATTACCCCTCAATGGTAATTTGAAAATTTTATTACAAATATATGAAAAATTTTATAATTTTAATTATTAATATTGATAAAGTTTACTACTGATTTGTAATTATTTTTCAAAATTTACCCTGATTTAAAATTCTTCCAATTTTTACTGTATTTTTTTATACAAGAAAAAGTTGCATCCCATGTTTTTGTAAATATTTTCAGTCAAATAAGCCGTACGGAGTTTCCTCTTCATTCTTTAAGCATAGGGCAAATATTTACCAAATGTGAGGATCATTGTGGGGTGCAACTTTTGCATACAAAAAGAGTTGCCCTCAATCTATTTGCAATTATTTTTATCAAATTGGTTAATCTATATAATTTCTTCTTAAACATATCCCTCTCCCCATATATATATATATATTGTTATTTATGCAAATAATTGTACAATGATATGAACAGACAAGAGTATCAGGAGTGATAACAAATGCACCATTCATGCTGAACTTAGACTGTGATATGTACGTTAATAATCCTCAAATAGTGGTTCATGCAATGTGTTTACTGTTGGGAGTCACCGATGAAAGGGACTGTGCATTTGTTCAATCTCCTCAAATCTTCTATGATGGATTAAAGGACGACCCTTTTGGCAATCAAATGGTGGTTTTGTTCCATGTAAGTTAATTTTTTAACCCTTTTTTTTTTTTGGGTGAATACAATTTTTAACCTTATACATGCATAATTTATTGTTTTTTTTTTTTCCCTTTTTTTAGTATATTACATAGAGGCGAAATGTTTTTATTGTCAAAAGTGTTATTATTGTATTTTTAGCAATGAACATAAATATTTAGTGATGAAATTACTATTCTTTTGAAACTAAATTTTTTGTCTCAAAAAATATTCTTTTTTGGACTAAATTATTTTGTCCCTAAAAGTATTTTTATTAGCGACATTTTCAAAATTTTGTTACTAAGCCTTTTTTTTTTTAATAACTTTTTCGGAATGCCTTTTTAATGACTATTATCACGACAATAATAATTGTTTCTCAAATATTTTTTGTAACAAAATTTTTACTTGTAAGAATAATATAAAAAAAAATTAATTCCTAAAACTGTTACTTCTTGTAACAGAGACTATCCTGTTAGAAAAAATTGAAGTTTTGATCTTCTAGTGAGGTATATTTTTCTGGTCAATTCAGCTGGTTGCAATTGGTTAAATTTGTTTGGTGAAATTTTTCTAGTCAATTCGACGGTATTGTTTGGTTTGTGGGGTCTATCATGGGTTCTATTTTAATAATTTGAACCGTTAATATGTAGAATTCGTCGAGTATTATATATTTATAAAAAATCACGTTGATCGGATATCGATACTTATGTGATCAAATCAATTTTGTATAAAAAAAAAATAAACGGTGAACAAATTAACGGTTGACAAAAAACTATTAAGATGAGGTATCTATTGATATCCGATCAACGTGATTTTTACAAGCATATAGTACTTGATGAGTTTTACATATTGAATTGTTTGAATTATCAAAACAAGACCCGTGATGGGCTCCCATAGGCCGAACAGCACCATCCAGTCCAATTAAAGACTAGAGGCAAGTTGCTCGCAATCTTGAAAACAAGTGTTTTTTTATATATATTTTGTGTAAAAGTTATTTTCAAAAACAATTTTTTTGTTGTTTTCTTAAAGATCGGTTGAATTTTTTTTTAAAAAAATTAATAATTCAAAAATAGTTTGTCAAACAAGTTTTTTATGTATTTTTAAAAAAGTAAAAAATTAAGCAAAAACAATAATAGCTAGAACTTGTCCCGAATGGCTATTAACAATTCACATTTTGTTTAAAAACAGTATATGGGACATGGAATAGTAGGGATTCAAGGACCCTTCTATGGAGGAACTGGATGTTTTCATAGGCGTAAAGTAATCTATGGTTTATCTCCTGATGACAATGATATAACGAGTGAGTCCCCCAACTTTTTGTTATTTATAATAAATTACAATACATTCTAGTATTTTTCTTCTTTTTATGTGCCTATATACTTAGCAAATAAATTTGATTTCTTATTATTAGGAAAATTAAGCAAGGAGGCTTTGCTCGAGACTTTTGGAAGATCAATGGAATTCACCAAATCAGCTGCTAACATATTGTCAGGCCTTTGGACAAGTAGTATTAGTCCTAACAATATTTCAAGTTGCATAGAGACAGCCCACCAAGTTGCTGGTTGTGACTACGAGTATGATAGCAGCTGGGGCAGAGAGGTTAGTACTATCATTTCATCTTTTTTCCATAAACACGAAGTACAAGAAATTATGGACTGGACCTTTCAATCCAGCTCGTAGATTTTAGTGTGCAAATCAATCGTTAAAAAATCATATTGATTTGGTAATCTCAGTTATATAATTATATCATATTTATTTAAAACAAAATATATTTAGTTTTTTATTTTTATAAATAAACTACACACTAAAATCTAAAAAATAAACAAAATACATCATTGATGTGGGGCATGTGAAGAATCTCACTGATTGAGCCAGATTGTTCAATTAGTGGGGTGGAGAGAAACGGTAATCAAAATAAAAAAGTGGCAAGGTTATAAGTTTACATATATCATTAAGTTTGCCTAAATAGAAACATGTACAAGTTAAACATATATTTCTTAGGCCTAATTTGAGTCACATATGAAAGGTAGATAAGATGGATTGTTATGTTCTCTATTATATCATCTAGTGGTTATGCAAAATCACTTTAATAATTATAATGACTTTTTTTTTTAAAATTTAAAATAATGATATAACTTTTTATTTTTATTTTGTAATCATTAAATATGAGGGAGAATATCTCAGGTGGGGGTTAATTTGATTGTTTGTTACTCCTCTGTCTGGGGTTTTTTTTTCTTTGTGATTGATTTTTTTTTTTTTGTGGTTAGTTTCTCACCAATTTTTTTGGCTTGAGCTAGCATATGATTTTGCACATCTGTTGGCTTTTTTGGCTTTCGAAGGTTAATATTGTAATTTTAAGCATGCCAGTAAGGATCAATCAATCCTTACAGAAGATTAATTGCCAATCAATTATCAGACGATTGTGTTTCAGTTCTTTCAGCCTCAATGAAGAGGACTTTTACTGGTAGCTTGTTTAGGAGAATTTAGTAAATAACAATTAAATGAAGAACAATTGCAGCATTTCATTAAACAAAAATGAAAAATTTACAATAATCTGATCCAGCCTCGTAGAGGTTTACAGCAACAAGATATTCGAAACTACTCCTTTGAATAAAGTGCAATATAAGAATTTAAAGTGCAGAAATGTAAAAACCGGAAGGAAAATAAGGTAGATAAAAATTTATTTTTGGATTTGAGTCTGCAGCTCTCTTTCTGGGGCCTTCTCTGCTATTTATACTTCTTAATGATAACTATCGAAATGAACTTCTAACCGTCGAAACATCCCTCCATGATTGCTGATCATGCTCTCTCACAGTTAGCTCCATTACACCATGTCTGCAGTTAGACTTCCCTCATAATTTTGAATTTGAACCCTGTGAGTAACCGTTAGGTCACATCACCTTATATCCCTCTATCATTCCAGTGCTATGCAGACCCATTATTACCAGTATGGGTTGACACGTGTCTGACTATGGTTGGCGATTTATATTACCTTCCCAAATTGCCCTTCTCAATCCACGTGTTGAATCGTGATTGGCTTATACAATTTATACAGCAAACATTACCCCCCGCACTAATATACCCAATACTTGGTGATATTAGTGGATCAAAACACTTCACCCACGTCCTAGAACGTGCATGGGTTTCACATCTTCTTAGAACTGCAACTGCCTGCATTAAATTGTTTTCTACACCTTGAACATTTCCCATTATCTGAGCATTCGAAAGGGCTGATACAGCTCGCATGGCCAAACAAACTTTCTTTAACATAGATCGAGCATACGAGGAGTTGTGAGATAATAATGTTTGCCGTCGAAAGAATTTCTATGCATTTATTAGTCACTCCTATCCACCTCCCTATATGCAAATCATGGAGGCGTTTGCAAACTATCGACCTTTGGATTATGAACTTATTGTTCATAATTCTCTAGCTCAAAACTTTGCAAACATGGATATTGGAAGCTCTTCTTCTAACCAAAAACCTTCTGCGTGGGATGAGGCTGCAGCTTCTTTTTCTAAGACTTCTGGCTGGGGAGGTTGGCCAGAACCTGAGGAACCCAAGCTGAGAGAGCGCATTAATCATCACTTCGTCGAATTCGTTGATCTTCTATCTTTTCTTCCTTTTGTTCGGAGCTCGGTGGTTTACCCATATGTATCCATCGATTGCGCGACACAGTTTAGAAGACAATTAGCTCATAGCATGGTACACGTCTTCCATGCCTATGAAGATCGTGCAAGCCACTCGTCGTCCAGAGGAAGCACAAGGGTACAGCCTATCATTCTTAGCCCAGAGGGCAAAATTTTGCTCTTTTGACTGGTTTGAATGTGTAAACAACTCCCAATTCCCTCTTTCTTTCGAGATGGATACTCCTGCACCTCCTCTTCCACAAAACCCTTATTGGATGGAGGAACTGAGGCTTACTCTTTTTGAGAATCAGTTTCTTCCTTTCTATAAACTTCCAACTTTCCCCACTATATTTGAGCGATATCAAGCTCGGCTTCTGCCCGCGGCCTTTTCTCACTTGCCCTTCACTGTTCTTGAGGGTGATGTTCCTCTTAAGAACCTTCGATGGGCTTGTGACGTTATGACTCGAAGTCATGTCCTCAATCCTATTGCCCAAGCAGAGCTTTAGATATTTTTGGATCAACTCCTACTGCTTCTTCATTGGCACCAAACTTCTGTGGCCACCACTTAATCTTTGGACAACATCTTAGCCCGTCAAATTCACACCCAGTATGAAGCAGAGAACCTTATCGATGAATCTAATGACTTCAAGAAAAAAGACTCTGCATACTGGGATGACTTGGATATGGATAAGATAGAACAATGATTGAAGGAAACAAAGTTCGAAATAAAAGCCGAACAACTTTTTCATCAAATAAGAGCATATCAACTTCAGCAACCTAACTTGGAGAAGATAGAAAACAAAATAAAAAAGGAACAGAAATTCATTGACCACTGTTGGAACAAGTTCCATGACCTTGTCATTTTCTCTATTCCTTATTTTTATGAAATTGAATATGTAGCCAAAAAGGCTTTCTGATGTAATTACTTTTACCTTAATAAAGCTAGGCTTCCCTTTCTTTATTCGGCATGGTCTGATTTCATTCTATTTGTCCAAAACAAACAAAATCAGAGCTTCAAATTCACAAATTTTGTCCTTTGAAACTTGATTTGAACATATCCAATGGAATACTGGAGACCTAATTGAAACTTTACCAACAGATGGAGCGTAATTGATAACCTTTGCCTTAGGTCTTCTTTTCCCAAATCATATGGTTAGCACAATCAACAGTTTCGAATCAACCATTTTTGCTTCGAACAAACAGTCTATATTTTTCAAAGTATGAAAACTTCCTTTAAAAAATGATTCCCTTTGTATTCTTCACTACTTAACCAGATATTGGTTTTATATCACTTCAAAATCTAGAACAAACAAATTCTAACCGTAGAGTACTTCAAACTTTACTTTGAAGGATTTTACTTTCAACAAGAAACCTAAAAGCCGGTCTTTAATCCTCTTGAAGTAAACAAATACCTGGGCACTCTTGTATTCTTAGGTGTGAAATGTTCTTCGAAGTCAATTTCCTACTTTCGAAGCTCTAGCTGAATGTTTGTCACCTGATTTTGGCACTAAAGCTTGGCTTCGAAGCCAAAAATTTGATTTCGAAGCCAATATTAGTATTTGAGATACGTTTTCCTCCCAAATTATCAATATTGAGAGAAACTTTTCGCATCCGTACCTTCAGTACTTCTTTGTGAATTTTACCAATTTAAAATGATTGGCCATTAATGGGGGCACGTGTCAATCTCTTATTGGTCCTCGAGCAGCCAACCCAACCATCCCCTCAAATTTGAATTTGGGCGGCTTCTCCCCCTCTATAAACATACCCCTTCTCGCTTCCTTTCATTCCTACTGACATTCCTCCGTTTCAAGCGTCTCTGAGCTCTTGCCCTTTCTCTCTCGCCATCCCTGAACTCGCGTTCGAAGGGGCCTCTGCCTTTCATTGGTATGTCCCCCAGCCCTTGTTATTACTATTTTCATTTCATATTTTTTTCTTTATGGCACCAAATCCGTAGGTTTTAGGGCCTCCCCCACCCAAAACCTTCAATGCCCGTTAGTTTCTTCGCTGTTCATTAGATAAAGAGTACCCAAATCAACCCCTTCATCTTGTATGAGGCATAATATTCACCCAAAGCTTAATTTTACCTAACAAAATGAGAAAATATTTTGTAGTTTTCAACCTAGCGGAAAATGTCATGTGTTATTCCAATAACATAAGCACAATAACTATTTTATTTATGTTTTTTTAAATAACATGATCGTATATTTTAGGACCCTACCATATTAGTCCGACATACAATCACGACATAAGTCAAATTTATCAGATAAATATGTTATTTACATATATCCTCAATAAGCCACCTTAAGTGTGGTCGGATTTTCCTCTATAATCGGTCTACTCTAGCACCATGTTAAATCGTCAACCATCAATTCATTTAAAAGTTTAAACTGTCAGGGAAAATGTGACAATTCTCTCAATATATATGATTCAAAAGTTTAAACTGTCAAAGAAAATGTGACAATTCCCTCAATATATGGAACAAGAACTAGCGAGAGAATTTATCTGAAATCCTCCTAACAATTTGATGTCACACAAGAAATATGACACAAAAGGAGTGCCACAATCTTGGACCCAGATGTGATCTAACTTAGTGTTGATATCACCCCATGTGAAGGGGGTGATTTCCTTCCTGTGGGAACACACAAATTAGTCAGCTCTTCTTTGTCCTTCATTGTGGCTGCCAACCGACAAGCCGCCGAAGTTGTTGATCCACCATCGTTGAACAACAGCTGGCCATGTGCAAGGCCTGCCAGCTCCCTCCCTTTATGTGTATAAATAAAGGTTGAGAGAGCAGAGAGATTACAGTGTGTGGTGAGCTTAAGAGAGTTTACACAGAGAGAGAATACAGAGTGTAATTCCATTTCTTAATATAGTGAATCCGCTACCCGTAGACGTAGGCGACTTGCCGAACCACGTTAAATCTCGTGTTATTGCTTGTGTGTGTTTCCTGGTGTGCCCTCGATCC